TATTTGCACAATGTATTCGATCGTTACGAAAACAGAAAGAGAAAGGAAAATGAAGAAAATCTTTAAAAAGAAATTGTACTTGAAAATTTGGCATCGAGATGGAAGCTCATCATGTACCAAGTAGATTCGCAGTCCTAGAATGACCAATGTGTAGAAGAGCTTTCCGAAATATACCATAGCTGCCATGTATACAATACGTTTCATCAAAAAAAGAAAAAAAAAAAAACGCTCAATATTTTGTTTGGGAGCTTGTTCTCGTAGCTTTTAGATATGGGTGATAAAAGTTTTTCAGTCGATGCTATATATATATATCTGTAGAGTCGTATTTATAAGTCTTTCAATCTTCACAATCGTTGAAATCGACGAAATTCTTCGGGAAGTTGTTTTGAAAATAATTCTATTCTTGAACGTTAGCCCGTGTCGTTTCATTTTGCAATTAGATAAAGTTCATGCGCGTGTAATCATGTAGTTCGTTATAACGGTTGCACTAGTCACGTGACCGCGTCTGATTTTTAACGTTTCTATGTAGTGGTACTATATATATGTGACAAAGGATATTTTCGATCAGCCCCAATTTGTATTGCAGACTTTTGAATTTTATATACCGTGTTACTTTTATAAACGCGCACGATGATCATTTGCTATCGATACTTCGAAATCGGGAGGAAAACCACCAGAAATATGTACTTGGTTTCGTTAATTCGTACGGTTATCGAATTCGAGGCGATTCGAACGTTGCGAACTTTTTTGAAGGAAAAATAAAACGAAACGTATCCATGTTACTTGTAGTATATGTACAATGTATCTTATCAACGTGTACAAACGACAAACAATTACATGTCAAATGTATATTAAGAAATTATATATATATACACACATATAAAATAAATGACCATTCGACCAACTAATATAACCGCCTTTTTTTGACTTACTACCATAGCCTTTGTTCCCTCGTTTGAGAAACCGTCCCGTGGAAATCTTCAGAACGATTCGGTACCACACTCTCAGAGACACTTACTTCTTTCTTTTATCACTAAATATACATTTCGCGTATTTGACACCCGCGAATCGCGATAACATCCGACCGATAAATAAAAATACAATGCGTTAGAAAGCGGCGAGCTTCCACCTGACGCGCGCTCCCCGCCAAACTTGTCCCTTGACTGCGGGGAACGTGTCGAAACGGACCGCTCGGTCTCAGCTTCAAATGTCGACGTACAAACAAAACGATGCGACCCTAACCTGCTTCTAAGAGGTACATATCGCAGGCAGAACATCTACTCGTGAGGTACCTTGTGAAGAAGTGCAAGAAAGTGTATACGTCCACGATGGACGAGGTGGTGGAGTTGCAAAATATGGAAAACGTGTGCAGGCTCTGCTTATCCACCGACGAGCCAAAATTGTCGGTGTTCGAAACGGAAGACTCTCTGTTGTCCATGGCTAGCAAAATACAAGCATGCCTATCAATTCAGGTACGTGCGCCAAACGTTATTACGTAGTAGTTTTTTGTGTGTATGATATTCTCGAATGTTTATTTCCCATCGCGGACGTTTATACTTCTCGCATTTTCTTTCTGCAACGAGGCGAATACGTTGAGGTTAGGTCTATACAGGATCATGTTTGGCATAGGATTAACAATGATGATTATGCGCGCTTTATTGGTGTTCATTGTTATTGGTTAAGGCTAGACAGGCAAATATCAAATGAAACGTGTTTTTGTAGCTGTATTTGTTTTTAGAGAAATTTAATTTTTGTTTTCAAATTTTGATGCGTGTCCATATCTTGATCGGGTTTATGTATCTTTTAGATTTCAACAACAGACAAATTATCAACACAGATATGCGTACAATGTGTTAAAAATGTAAATCAATGGCATAGTTACAAAGAAACCTGTTTGAGTTCACAAGAGAAGTTGCATCAGTGGTTGGAACGGCAGCATATGCAACAAAGTCCCATGGTACGTATACATATTTTGTTAAATTTGTCAATTTAATATAGTTGTAATTAATGTATCATTGTCATTTGTCGTAGGTTGTAACCATCAAGGATGAACCTGTTGATTTGGACTTCTATGAAGACAACATCGAGATCATTTCTGAATCTACCACTGATTCAAATTTGGTAAGTAGTATATGCTTCAAAGCAAAATGTAGAAAATAAAAGTATATATTAAAATTATTATTTCATCTTATAGGAAGTTACTAATCTTGAAGAGAATACAAATCACTTAGAAGATAGTGCTCGATGTCAGAAAGTAACTGATGGTGATGAAATAGTCGTAGATGAAGATCAACCAATCTTGATGAAAGACATGAATGTTTCTATAAAATCTGAACTACAAGATGATTACGATACAGATTGTACTATAGAAATAGAATCTGTTACTGGTAATGAACTTATCGAAAATCCAAAGGAAAGGATCATGGAAGCTGATTCCACTCAGAAATCCAATGCATCTGCATCAGTAAACAAGAAAAAAACCAGAAGAGGTCCTCATACTCACTTTAGGGGTGCACGTGTTTTTAAACAGAAATGTGTACATTGTCAAATTAATTTGCATTCTAAGCATTCCTATGCAAATCACATGCAAAGATTTCACTCTGACAAACAGAATGGTAGTGTCAATAAACCGGAATTAAAAGATGAGGAAGAGCTTGTCGAAGATCTGGAAGATGAATTAATGAGTATGGAAAAGGATGCTCCATTGACACAAGTGCAACAAAATATTATTGGTCAATTGAAGACATTTTCATGTTATTCCTGTCAACAAAGCTTCAACGATCGCAGAAGCACGCTTTTCCATATTCGTCAGCATATGCCCGACCTGAGACCGCACACGTGTATCGCGTGTTTGACAGAGTTTCCAGATCGATCAATGTACAAGCTACATTGCGGAGCATCGTTTGAATGTGCAATGAAAATCGCCCTTGTTGTACCGAAACAAGGCGACGAAAAATACTTCACGTGTAATATGTGTTTACGTCCTATGCAGAATAGGAAACAATTGCTTAGCCATTTGTCAAAACATTCGGATAAACAGTACGAGCAACTGGTATCCCCGTCACGATCTCCTCCTAAATTGAAACCAGTGACTCCTCTGCCACCTTTGAAGCAAGAATCACGAAAAAGACCATTCGAAGAAAATTATATATTAAACATACCCAGCCCTTACAAAAATGGCGATCCTGCGCATAATCATATATGTGATTTGTGTGGTATGATCTACAGATATAAGCCAAATATGTTGAGACACAGGGATCTATGTCAACGTTTATCATCGGATGTTAGAACATCCTACAGATGTGTTCACTGTGGCATGACATATCTGGTATTCAAAAAATTCCATTCTCATATTACACAGGAGCATAAAAAGAAAGATTTTATATGTTCTGCATGTGGCAGCAAATTCAAGTCTCCTAGTAATTATTTGGAACATCACAAGGGACATCGTGAGAATCACGATAAACAACATTCTCTTAATTCGAAAAGCGATTTAACGAAGATCTCGCAAAACATTTCAAATAAGGACTGGGACACATTTGAGGCTGAAGTAAATGCTAAAAAATTGTCTGACAGTAATCAGTACAGCTGTGCTCTCTGTAATTTGGAATTTACTACGAGAGCCGAATTAACAGAACACAGAAATCTACACCTGAAAGTGAAGATTTATTCTTGCGTCATCTGTCGTAGCATGTTCAGCAGCGCAGGTGCTTTGGAAATTCACATGAAGGATCATGGCATAGAAGACCCGAATGAAAGAAATGCAAACAGCTCCTGCGTAGAGTATGGTAGTACGGTGGAAGAAGAATCAAAAGATTCGAACTCAATGAACGTAAGTGCCACTTCAGATCCTGGTGTTAAAAAGAACGAGTGCAATAAGTGTGGAAAAGTATTCTCGAATAGCGCAAATCGTAGAAGACATATAAGAAATCTTCACAACGTTACCAGAGGGCACCTTAGCTGTTCTTACTGTTGGCGAACATTCAAGAGCAAAGAAACACACGACCGACATGTTACAATCGATCATTTAAAATCCTCAAAATCCATGCTCCGATGTTCTCGATGTCCAAAGACTTTCTTCTTCCAAGCCAATCTGAATCTTCATTTTGAGACTACGCATTCTGGGAAATCATTTTCAGCTGGCCACAAATGCGATATTTGCGGTAAGACATTCATGGAAGAAACATCTTTGAAAATACACAGAAGCTGGCACAATCGAGCAAACTCTAGACTGAGTTTGTACTTCATGAAGAAAGAAGATCCAAAACAAGAGGAACCTTTGGATTCTAATACAACCCGGCCAGCGAGAGCGCGAAAATCTTACCCGAATTCACCTTCAACAAAACCTAATGGTAATTTCCAATGTCAAGTCTGCAGTGAAAAGTTCAATGATGTAACAGAACTTAGGACACACTTATGGGACGTACACTGTGCACGCAGCAAAAATGAGAAAAATTTCCCTGATGGCGAATTCCATTGTGAACTTTGTATGAATGTTTTCCCGGATAAGGAAACGTTGGATGTGCATTTGCAATGGCATAAAGCTCAACCAATTCTCAACGATATAAAGTCTGATAATACGTGCGACATTTGTGGGAAATCATACAGCTCAAAGAAGATATTGTCCAGACACAAGAAACTTCACAAGTCCACAATTACAGCTGCTGCGAAGTTGCAATCAGCTAGCAGTCAACCTTTATGCACCATTTGTAACAAGGTGTTCAACAATAATCGCTCGCTCCAGTGTCATAGACTGAATGTGCATGCTAACATATTCAACCAACAATCTCAACAGGTACAGAAAAACGCAAGAAGAACCTCTCAAGAAGAGCCAAGAGCTAAAAGAATAAAATTAGAGGAAGAGGGCAGGCAAACACCTTCTGCCATGGATGCTTCGAGCGCGGGCAAAAAATCCGTCATGTGTCACGTCTGTAGGAAATTCTTCGCAAACATGAGTGTACTTTATAAGCACAAACAGTTGGTACACAAGACTCATACGAATCTGGTAAAAAATCTCACTAAATCATACCAAATAGAATGCATACCGTTGCCCAGCAGTGATGGCAAAGTCTCTTGTAACGTTTGTTACAAAAAATTCCCTGGCGTGTCGAATTTGCGTCAGCACTTTACTGTAAAACACAAGAATGCCCCTGTTAAGTATGCTTGTACTGTAGATGGGTGCAAACTCACATTTCCTACACCGATGGTCTTAAAGAACCACGAATTGTCTCACACCAGCATCATCTTCAGTTGCAACTTATGCAACAGGCATGTGTTCAGCAGGCCTGCGATGTCGAACCACATACTGACGGTACACAATATCGTTTACAACGCTGAGAGCAGCAAAAACTTCCACAGAGAACTGGATTTGGGCAAATACGTGGTAGAGGGTGCAGTAGATGCTACCTGTCCTCAATGCAAGATCAAGTATCCCAACAACAGGGCTATGAAGATTCATTACTTCAAGTATCACGAAAACCCAAACGAATAAAATCGTATATATTTATCTATCCAAAGCAATTCGCGGAAATTTCAACGAAGTGTATTAACTGTTTAAGACGCGAATTGAATGACGTACGAGTACTTGGTCCTACTGACAGAGAATCTTTTCAGAGAATACTGCCTTATATGCATTTTTTTTTTTTTTCCTCAATCAGATTACGCAGTTACAATAATTGAACGATCGTCGAATGATGATGGTGTTCGAACAATATCTAGCAATAGCGTTCTTTCGTTTCGGCACGAATGATTGAAATACACATTCGATCGGTTTTGTTTTTCTTCCACGAGAATTGGACTGCTCGCGATTTAAGATCAGGAAGTACCAGATTCGATGAAATATTCTGTAAATAAAAATGTTTTGTTATAGAAAAATTAAGATACTGTACGAGGGGGAAATCAGTTGATATATTTCTTCGTTCGATGTTTTTAACTTTACTTACAGTCTTCCAAGGATGATTCTTATATTTGCTTATCGTGATGTTAAATTTTTCTTGCTTGATGTTGATCATTTAAAAGATATAGCGCTTATTGACGTGTTTCAAATCAACTTATCAAAACTAGAGGATCAATGTGTCTGAATAACAAAAATTTGATTGCAGTCGATTCAATTCATTATTGACCATTGCGTATCTTTTGTTGATTCGTCAGATATAATATAATTACACTTCGTAAACTTGAATCGTGTCAATTCAAATATATTATATTTAATCAGAAAAGACAAAAAGGAAAAATGAAAGATCATACTACAAGATCTCTATTGTACGATCTACAATATCCTGTTTATTTTCATTGTGTTTCTTTCAGTTACGGAGCAATATTTATTGTTTCCGTTGCGATCTGATCGAACATTTTTATATGGCTAAATATTGAATTTTATACCGTGCGAACCAAGGATTGACATGTTTTACTATGGTGTGGCTACGAAGAGGAAGATGGATAGGACAAACTATGAGTTTGCATGGGTAGGCAAGATGGGTAGATTAGGCTTTGCATGTTTATTTATCGAAAAATACTGTTTCTTTTTTTTTTTCGACGGTTTAGATTCCGTTATCAATACGCATATATACTTGTATATGCAATGTATAATCTGTAGTGTTTTTGCATATTAGTGAACAAATAAAAGGAAAACTTAATAAGCATCCTCGACTTTTCAAGTAATCACTCGACATTGTCCTTGTTCGCGGGATGAACGCCGCCAATGACAGTACCCTGTCAGTAGTTTTTTTCAATCATTACTCTCCATTTTCTGAACTGCTTAGGATAATCAGACGATCATGTTCCTGAGCTGAACTCGTTTCCTGTTTCTCATGATAGTTCCCACGATGGCCATCAGAGGGCTACCGTTTATTCATCATTCTGACTTCTTAACCTTCAATTGCTTGAGGAGATATCTCATATTGTCGAATGACCAAAATCTTTTCAAATGTGTCTTCCAACGAGCAATCCTGTTGATTAGGCAATATTGCTGGTCAGTTGTTTTTTCCCCGTAATTGCCGCCTCACGGTGCTCTAGATGGCAGCCATTTTAAGCAACAGATCAGTTAGAACTCGCCAATCACTCGGCCAGCTCGATCAGTTAGAACAGTCGACCAGCGGATGAGAATAATCCAATTTAGGATCACAAGTCCAGCAATTTGGTTCTTCTTCTATTTGCACTGAAACACACCTCGTGCTGATTTTAGATCATCAAGCCTTGATATAGATCTTCTGTTGCATGCGTATCCGCGTATTCAGCGACACGTGTTCGTTAGGTAGCTCCTCTCGCAAAATCTCTAGTAAACACCGAAGGTGTACATAACGATTTGCCTGGTCTGTTGTTGATGTGATTGTCGGCTACCTTGTTTAACGATCAACCTATTTGAAGAATAATTGTTCCTCCTAATTGTCCCGATCGATACACGTAGCCAGTTGGTAGAAATGTGGAGAGTTGGTGATTCAGTTAGCCGGAGAAACGATCGAGGGAAATTAAAGAGCGTCACTCGGAGAAATCTGCAGGCTGAACCGTTAAGTTTCTTACAACAGATGTTCGAGATGATAGTTACGCAGTTATCGTTGCGCGCAACTACGATAGTACTTCCGAACTTTTCAAGCGTAATTGTGTACCCGTAACGGAGGTACACATAGAACTTGTACTTCTGTACACGGAATCCCTTTGTATAGACGAATCGTTCGTGACTTTTGGAAACGAAAGAAAACCTCTGAGAGAACAGAGGAACGTTTTACGAATGCATTTAAATTTTAAACGGTCCGAGGATATCTCTAATTGCAATTGTACTGGAGATATATTCGTTGTTTTCGTCATTTCGTGTTTTAACTTTAAAGTAGAAACGATTGCGTGAAACGTTTTAACATTCAACGGACAAGAATGTGAAGAACTTCAAAACTGGTACATACGTGTATTCTAATTTGTCCGCGAATGTTTATCGATAAGTACGTGAATGTATGTATGGATGTTACATTGGTAACATAGCTAATCCTCGTTAATTAATTTAATTTCTCTACGCTCTGTTTTCTTTTAAATTGCGTGATGTGTCCATAGTAGTATACAATGCTTAAACTTAAAAGTTGGAAATTGTACAAGCACCGTAAGCTTACGAGAAGAAAGTATTACTCTGGAAAGAGTTTATAAATTATTCTGCAAGAGATGTATTTTTAAAATTTTTACGCTCGGATGGGGGATCCCATCATCCTCAAATTCTGCGTTAAATTTAAAATTTCCTGCAACAGCATAAAAATTCGCACTCTAGTAGCAACATATATCGATAATAGACGATGGAATCCACCATTTAGTTCCATTGTTTCGCGTTCAGTGGCATCTATGGTGTCATAGACACGCGGATAAACGCTAAATTACATGCAGCGCGTTCCTTATGCGACATTGAAGCGCAGCCATCCTCGTCGAAAGAATCCGCGCACGTGTGACCGCTGAATGTCACATGTGCCACCAACGTCTTTAAATCGTTGCGACACTTTTAACGTGGAACACTTGTATGTGTGTGTGTGTGTGAGTGAGTGAGTGTGTGTGCTTAGTATTTTGAAGGAAACTTTGAAAATATTCGAAACTAGCACTGACTATTTGTACGATAAAATCCATCATTTTCTTTTTTATCGTTGATTCCTTTCTAATCCTTTGAACATGTACTTTGAACGTAACGAGACGATCGGGAGAATATTTTGCTATATATATATTGTATAAAATATGGTTAAATATGGTTGTGTGTTTCATTATTCTGATCTTTTATTACATAGAATCGAATGTAAGCGACGCGAGGTAACTTTTCTTACTTCAGGAAAATTAATGTAGCGTAATTGGATTGCGGATTGCGGGTTTTTTATATTTTGAAAAATGGGATCTAAATAGAAATTTCCTTTGTCTATTATATAAATACAGGGTGTCTCGCATTTTTTTCGAGGCACTTTCGACAATCTGACGAAAATATGTTTCGAATAAAAATCGATTCTAATCGAATCATCATTTCCCACGGTGGCATGAGACATCTTGTATATATTATAATAAAATATTTTACTTTGAATGTTTCATATATTTTTTCGTATATGGTATGCAATCGTGTGTAATGTTTTTCCAATGGATAAAATTCCATAGTCTTTATAATGATGAATAATAATAAAAAAGAAAAATAATTAATGAAGTTAATTGAGAGTAACACAATTTTTAACAACACATGTATATTGATTATTATATTTTATTAGAAGAATCAAACAGTAATTTCAAAAATGTTTCAATTTTATAATATTATGCTATTCGAGTAATCTATGTAAAAGGAAAAATAAAGTATGGAAAAGAAATGAAAAAAAAAAAAAAAATGCAATTTTTGTATCTTAAAGAATGAATTGTAAATTTTTCTTAAATTGTCGGATTATTTTACTCATTGGGAAATGAATAAATGAAATTTTACTTCAGGACTTATTAAACAAATATTTGATTCAATCCACAATGGAATCAACTTTTGTGAGTTTAATTTTCAAAATGATAAAAGCAGAGATACAATTTACATGCTTATAATTGCTCAAACTTTACAATTATCCAACAACTGTAAAGAACAATTGACAAAAATTTATGGTGTCTAATCTAAACGTGTCACGTGTTCCTTACGCCATCGTGAAGCTATTAAACAACTCGTGTGTGTTCAGACATTTAGTACTCGTGCATGTGCGTGATCATGTTGCAAGACTCTGAAATGGAACAGTCCATGTGACCTTCTGGCTTGCCTCGATGTCATTCATATCTAGTTGACGACCTAATTTCTCATTCAACCGCAACGTAGAAAATTTCATCAGAGCAGTGTGAACCGAGATAGATGATAAGATCGAAATTCAATTTCGATTTTATAGATTTGTCAATAGATTTTTAATGAGTCCAAGAATCCTCGAATCGACATCGGAATGGTGAGATCATGTCACTCGACATCTGGACTTGCGAAGTAATCAATAATCGTGTCACGTGGCGTAACACATTTAACTTTGATATCTAATACGCACTAATTTCGCTGTACCTGGGTTTCCATATTTGTACTGCTTTGTTAATCAAAAGAACGCGTCCAAAATTTTACTTATGTATCAAGGGGCATTTGTTCTTTTAATTCTTCTAAAGAAATGTTTTTCTCAGGATTAAAGACTATAGTAGCTTCAACTACAGTAGTTCTGAAATTAAAATTATAATATTCCGAAAGAAAGAATAATTTCATGCCCAATATTGACATTTTGGAATTATAATTCCAAAGGCTCTAAAGATTCTAAGAGACTATGATGCGAAGTTTCAATTTAATCATTTTCTCCCAAAACAATCTAAATTCGAAACATCGTACCGAGATTTCTCAGATAATTAAGGAATAAATTCCTAACAAATAATCAATAATTCCTGAGAAATAAATTTCTAACAAATAATAACCACGAAGATTTAAATATGTACTGGAGAAGGTGGAGGAATTCAAGTCACGTTTACAAAATTAAAATCCTTAGGTATCGATCA